TGGGGACCGCTTGTTACCGCGCGGTAACAAGCGGTCCCGGGTGGGGGATCCAACCATAATATAAACTGACCCCCAACATCAAGTCTTCCAAACTATTTTTACGACTCCTGGTTATCATAAACTGTGAAGGTTGTCAGTTGTAACATGTGAGCATTTGAACAAAGAAGAGGCACTGCAGCAGGCCTACTGGCCCATGCTAGGCAGGTTCAACTAGTAAGCTTGATAACGTAGTTAATACTCACATCTAGCTAACCTAACTGTGCCTAGCATAACACTAACATCAACTGAAATTAAAAAAAAAAATTACACATCCAGATAATCTACAGAAGTATTAATAATGGCAGCCGACATGTGAAGCATTAACTTCGTAAAATATACTACGGTGAAAAAAGGTGCTCTCATTCCTCATCCAATATATGAAGGTGTTAACTACATTAACATGAACATTGATAAATATATACATAAGAGTACGTAAGGTAAGTATTAAAAGCTTACCCAGCAGCAGCAGCAGCTTGCCAGTGAAGATACATGGTCTCATGTATCTTACAATAACACAATAATCTCAAGTTTAAGCTTCTTGATTTTCATGGCATCTAAGTTTGCAGTCATTGTGGAAGATTGTGAGCACACTGGAGTGCTGATGGTTGAACACACATGCTGGATGAACACCGATGAAAATGAAGAGGTGTTATCGTGTCTCATCAGTCATTGCTGCATCTTCAATAAAGGTAAGTGTCATTTATTCTTCATTTAGTAGACTAGTACATGCACAATATATACTGTGCATGTACTACTCTACTATTGTGCATGTATCCTTCTCTTTGTGTGTAGGAAAATGTATATTTCATGTGGTAAAAATTTTTTTTTTCATACTTTTGGGTGTCTTGCACGGATTAATTTGATTTCCATTATTTCTTATGGGGAAAATTCATTCGCATACCGATTATTTCGCATACCAATGAGCCCTCTTGCACGGATTAAAATCAGTATGCGGGGGTCCACTGTACTGGGTAGTTGAAATCAGTAAATTGGTGGCATCTTGCACTCAGTTGACAGAAAAATGGAGTTCTAAAGGCATAGCTATGAGTTTGGTCGACTGGAACAATGAAATTGGCCAAAAATAGGGCTCAAAGTCAGCGAAATCGCCGATGCATACAAATCGCCGAGATCGCTAACTTCACAGGAGCATAATTCCGCAAGTTTTTCAATCAAATTTCGTACTTTTGGTGTCATTACCACCAGGAAAAGATTCTCTGTCATTTCATAAGAAAAGAATAATTTTTTTTCCCAAAAAACTTTTCAACACCAGGAAACACTCCAGGATTTGGGGTTGCGACAGCCAAAGGGTTAAACATACATCGCATATAAACATTGTATGTTTATATGCATGTTTATATGTTTATATAATTTTGAAGAAAATATCATAGATGGATTAATGAAAATGCCTATATTAACGTAAAATAAGACATTTAATATGCCCAAGAGTGATTATTATTATGTACTATTAGTATTACTATGGTGTTAAGACTAGAAAGACATTCTTAGTGAACGAGTAACAGAGGCATGTTTACGCTACATAATGTGTTTCTTATATAATTTTGAAGAAAATATCATAGATGGATTAATGAAAATGTCTATATAAACATAAAATAAGACATTTAATGTGCCCAAGAGCGAGTCACAAACATATAAGCGGCCCAGGTGGATGAGCCTGGTACCGTCGATTTCTGAGCCGATGTACGAAACCCGGGGGGAAATTTTGCCGAAAAAAGTGCTTGAAATCTGAATTGTATGATTTCCGCACCAGCCGGGGGTACACTGTATAACCAGGTATGAGTGGCTAGAGTTTATATCCTATTAAAAACCCATAAAACAGACCAGGGGTGAAGGAGGCCATACCTGTCTTAGGAAAATCAGCAAAAATCAAATATTTCTGCTACGTTGAACCCAATTTCAAGCTACTTCTGGTCCTGAAACCAATGAAAATCATCTCTATTTCTGTAATATGTCTTCCAATCTACCAAATGATACCAAGAAACAGCCAATTAAACCATAAAAACCATTCGTAGAAAACACTACAAAATCACTTTTAAATCATATACATGGTCAGTTTTGTTTTTCCCATAATGAACTGTGGGGTGCAGGATTTTTTTAACCCTTTCACTGTAGAGACCCCTGTTCACAAATTTGCTCTGTGTCGAAGAATTTAAAAAAAAAAAATTTCTTATGAAATGAGAATCTTTTCCTGATGGTAATGACAGCAAAAGTGCAAAATTTGATGGAAAACTTATGGAATTACACTCTTGCAAAGTTAGCGGTCTCGGCGATATATTCGCATCAGCGATTTCGCCCACTTTGAGCCCTCCATTTTTGGCCAATTCCATTGTTCCAATCGACCAAACTCATAGCTATTTTGCTAGAACTCCATTTGTTCTATCAACTGAGTACAGAAAACTGCCCATTTACTGATTTCAACTACCCAATAAAGTGGTCAGAAATTGGCAATTTGGCCAATTTCACACAAATTTCAAAAGATGCCAATTTCAAAATAGGGTCCAGAATAAACAATTCAGACATTCCTGGCACTAAAATAACATTTTTTCTGTTATTAGTCACATCTCTAGGCCCCTCTTATATTACTCTTGCTGTCCATTTTGAATTTTTATTCACACAAAAAATAGAAGATTTACTGTTATGCAGACTACTGCATTATTGTAATAATTGATTAAATAATGTCAACCCATTCTTGACTGTGTATTAGACTGGCCAATTGGACATGTATTGGATGGTGATGTCAATTGTTTATTCTTGAACAGTGAGCTCAATTTCAAGGCACTTTCATGAAATCAATCAAAATCATCTCTATTTTTGTAATATATCTTCGATTCTATCAAATGAGACCAAGAAAACCAGAATACAACCATAAATACCATATGAAAATACAGCCTCTCCTCACTTAACAACGGAGTTCAGTTCCTAAGACCACGTCATTAAACGAATTCATCGCTAAGTGAGGAGCATACTATAATGGTAGTGGGTTTGTGTCAACCATCTCTGATATTGTTTTAATGTCACCTTTGCACCATTTATAACATTTATGGTATATTTTTAAATGTTTATACAGTAGCATACTGTATACTGAAATAAACAGAACAGAGGAAATTAGCTCTAATATACATTATTTAGGTAAAAATACTGGTCAGAGAGCCCATCGTAAGTCCAAGGCATCAGTAAACAAGTACGTCGCTAAGTAAAGAGAGGCTGTACTCCTCAAAGCCAGCATTTTAAACAAAAAAACACGGTCTGATTTTTTCTCATTATGCACTGCATACTGCAGGATTTATTTTATACGCACACTGACCATGCAGACCTGTAGGTCTATTAGCTTTCTCCCACTAGATTTGAAGCCGCTAGAATTTTAGTGTATTAATACGCCACCGACACTGGCTTGTAAGCTGTACCTATACGTCACCGACAGTGCAAGGGTTAATATGGTGCACAATCACTGCATGGACCCATTTTCTCATACAGTGGACCCCTGGATTATGTAATTAATCCATTCCAGAGAGAGTGACTTATTCCGAATCTGACTTATTCCAAATTAACTTTCCTTATAAGAAATAATGGAAATCCAATTAAACTATTTCAGACACCCAAAAGTATTAAAAGAAATGTTTTCTACATGAAATATACATTTACCTACACAGAAAACAATGATACATAAAGAATAAAACAATAACAACATCACACTAACCTTTATTAAAGACATGGTGATGTAAGGAAGATGGGAGGAGGGAAGAGGATGGAGGTGTTTACAATTGTTTGGAAGGGGAATCCCCTTCCATAAAGACTTCAGGTACCAAGTCCTTATCCTGGGTTACTTCCCTTCTTTGTTTTTTAATGCCACTAGGACCAGCTTGAGAGTCACTGGACCCCTGTCGCTCAAAAAAGTGTTCCAGAGAGGTCTGTTTCTGGCGTATGTTAGGAATTGTGTTGGGAGATAGGACAAGATAGTCCTTCAATATGACACTAATATCAGCTCCATGGCTTATTTATCTAGCACAATTCATCTAATATGACATAATAAACAATATTAATAACATAGAAACATGAAATATACTCTAGAATGAATAAAATATGGCATTAAGAAAATCACGAGTGGTGGTGTGTTGTTTGTTGTTGGGTGTATAAGGGCCACTGAAAGATAAGCTTTACATAGTGGTGGTGAAGGCGCCAGCAGAGGCGGTGGTGTTAGTCAGTAGCCCTATATACCTCCAACAACAATGGAGGAGTCAGTTTCGTGCTGTCCTTTTTCTATCGATTAATCACTTAACTTGCTACGCTGTTAATGCTACACTTTATTGCTGGCTGGCGCTATAGCCTTTATCAACTCCTGCTGCTTTAGTATCATACATATTGCAGAATCACTGAAAAAGGCACATTCTCCAAAGGGCTGGCAGGCACTAGAAGCTTTCTTTGGGCCCATGGTGGCTTATTTAGCAGTTACAAGCACTAAAAAGAATGGAATAATACAAAATGTATCGTATAAACACATGGGATTGTCCTCACTGGCTGGCGAACGATGGCACACTGGCTGTACATGGAGTGTCGGGGCCGCTCAGGCTGTGCAGACACGTTCCGGATGAATGACCGATACCAAGTTCAGTGACGTTCACTGAGCCAATATTTTGACGAAAAAACATTACTTATTTTGAATATTACTCATTCCGATGACAGCTTAATCTGGGGTCCACTGTATCTTGGCCAAAATTTACAGCTCATAGTTTATGTGAGTGAGCTGAGTTCATGACCTAGAACTACATCAGGGACCCTGGCATCAATGACGTAATTCTACATGGCAGACAGAGAAAAGGTTAATACAGAAAACTGATGATGAGCTTGCATTCTCAAATACATACTGTCACAAACTAAGCTTAAGATACACAGAATATTTCTTACAAAATAAAATACACACACATAAAAGATCACAGTGTACGTACCTCATGGAGAGCCTTTGCTTCATATAGGTTGTGGTTTGAGAACTTGAAACCAAATGTATTATTTAATGATGGGCCATCAAAGACGGGAATGAAAAATTAAAAAGTAATAATCACTGGAAAAATACCATTTGGAAATTTTACTTCAAGTTAAAAAGTTTGCACAGTGGACATATCCTGTTATTTATTAAATCCGTATTTTACAGCATCAGAGACACTATTTTTTTTCCTCCCCAAAATAATTCGAAAACTTACCCAGCGTCTTGAAGCTAAGTACCATTTACTTTTATTCCAAATTTATCAATCAAAACTGTAGAAAGGCATCCTTGCACCGGAGCACCCCAAATCCCCCTAAAAATACCGGTGAATGTACCTGTATTAATTCCAAGGAATCACGTCCAATGAAGCCCACGCAAAACATCATCTCAAGCAAGGATTTTTCAGAGGGAAATAGATATTACTTTAACTTTTTTTTTTCACAAATGTGAAAAAACAATCTCTTAGATACAACAGTAGGCCCCGCTTTTATGTGGGTTAAGTTCCAGCTCTGTCGTAAAGCTAATCACCCTTTCATCACTTAGAAAATGCATATACGTTAATTCCTGGTAACATGTTTACACTATCTTTATTAATTTAAACAACAGAACTAGGCTAAAAATGAAGTAAATGCATAACAGTACATCATACTGCCTTAAATATTGTAGTCTAAGTAAAAATGAGAGGTAACAGTTTTTTACTGTAGAAAGTCAGGTGTGTGGGAGCCCGCCCCGGCTAACCACCCTCACAAAATTATGTTAATTTGTTCAAATGTATATGTAGCATATTACGTATGTACAAGCATACTACGGATGTATTAGCTAAATTATTCATGAAGTATTTTGCCCGGTCTCCAGACAAACTCTCGTCCACCGCTGACACCGCCCATACCACCACATGAATGACACATTTTATTCATTTTAGAGTACCTGAGCAGCTGACAGTGCAGCAGCTGACAGTGCTGCAGCAGCAGCTGACAGTGCTACAGCAGCAGCTGACAGTGCTACAGCAGCAGCAGACGGTGCTACAGCAGCAGCAGACTGTGCTACAGCAGCAGCAGACGGTGCTACAGCAGCAGCAGACGGTACTACAGCAGCAGCAGCAGCTGACGGTGGTACAGCAGCAGCAGCAGCAGCTGATGGTGCTACAGCAGCAGCAGCAGCTGACAGTGCTACAGCAGCAGCAGCATCAGCAGTTGACCATGGTACCACAGTATTTCGATAATATTTCTCACCCTTTTTACCACAGGGTTGGCACTAGAAGCTTTCTTGGGGCCCATGGTCACTTATTTTGCAGATAAAATCACCAAAAACACTGTAATAATACGAAATGTTCTGATTGTATGCTTGGATGTTACCGCGGAGGCTGGCTTGTAAACAATGCCACCGGCGGAACATGTGAGGCTGGCTCAGGCCGCACATTAGACGCGTCTCGGACGAATAGCGTTGAGCGGGTTTTTTAGCGGTATGCGAGGCAAAATCTTAGCGATAAAATGTATCGGTATGCAGATTTAACATTATGTGATGCCAACGGTATGCGGGGGTCCACTGTATATATCAGGTTTGTATGTTATTTATATTGCTTATTATGTCATATTAGATGAAGTGAGATAGATAAACCGTAGAGTTGATATTAGCGAAATTAATGAAGTACAGAATTCCACTGGAACGGATTAATTGCATTTCAATTAATTTAAATGAGGAAAATTGACTCCGCAAACGAGCAAATCTAGTTGCGAGCAAGGTCATGGAACGGATTAAACTCGCAAGTAGAGGTTCCACTGTAGTGGTAAAAAGCAACCTTTAAATAGATTGACACTATGATATGAAATTAATCTGAGAGTAGGATTTGCCTTATAACATAAAGTTTGAGCAATTGATATCACTAAAGAAATATTATTTGAGGCAGTTGATACTAGTTAGTGGAAGATGGAATAAGGAATTGCACTGTAGTGTAGTAGATGCTTACACTAGTTTGTTATTTGTAGTTTAGGAGCAAAGGGAAAATTAGGCAAGATTAAGGAAGGCGGGGTAGGGGTCGGCCTAGGAAAGGTTGGAGGGAGGGGGTAAAGGAGGTTTTGTGTGCGAGGGGCTTGGACTTCCAGCAGGCATGCATGAGCGTGTTTGTAGGAGTGAATGGAGACAATGGTTTTTATAAATTGACGTGCGTGGAGGTAGCAAAGTACAATTTTTTTGAAGGGGTTCAGGGAAACGCAGGCCGACTTTAGCCGGAGATGGGAAGTACAGTGCCTGCACTCTGAAGGAGGGTGGTTAATGTTGCAGTTTAAAAGTAGTAAAGGCACCTTCTGGCAAGACAGTGATGGAGTGAATGATGGTTTTAAATTTTTCATTTTCGGCCACCCTGCCTTGGTGGAATCGGCCAGTGTGAAATAAAAAAAAAAAAAAAAAAAAAATTATAGAAGATTTACAGTGCTTAATTAGGAATAAAATGGTAAAACTGATATTATTAAAGGGTTATCTTATTAACAAGTAAATAAATTGTGAAGGGAAATCTGGAAGATAACACAAATTTGGGTCACCCAAGGAACTGTTGGAACACACAGGATAATGAGGTAGTAAATACTATCCAGGGGGTGATAGTACAGAGATTAGTTCAATAATGGCATAATAACATACACTAACATAGTACAATATTGGTCACTAATATCAGTCAGACTCTGTAATGTTTGCATCATGAAGGAAGTTCGCTAGTTCATTTTCATTTGTAATATAGTACACACGGCCTACATTTGTTTTTCTTACTAGAATTTGTCCATCACGTACAAAGCACTGGTGAATTTTATCATTATTCTCATGTTTCAGTTTTCTCACTCTGTACAGGAGGTTTAGTCGTTTTCTTGTGAGACACTCATTTATGTATACATGTATATATATTTTTGCTTTAATAGATGAACTTATTAGATTTTTTCTGTCTTGTGTGTGAAATCTGAGCATAACACTTTTTCTCCCTTGGTTCCCTAGTAACCGTAATTCTTCAATTTCCGACACTGGCACATTAACCTGTAGGTTAATAGATGAACTTATTAGATCTTTTTTTCTGTCTTGTGTGTGAAATCTGAGCATAACACTTTTTCTCCCTTGGTTCCCTAGCAACCGTGATTCTTTAATTTCCGACACTGGCACATTAACCTGTAGGTGGTCACGTATGATCTGGAGAGTTGTTTAAGACATAATGAAGAATACGAAAACTCAATCATGTTTAAACAAAACATGTCCAAAGCTGCATACCTCTGCACACCTTCCCTGCCCCATCTTATGTATTTTATCTCTATATCAAATGAAATTAAAAGTGAACATAGGAAAGAGCAAAGTGATGAGGGTAACAAAAAATTTAGGTAAATAAAGACTGATATCAGATTGGCAGGAGAGAGTATGGAAGACTGTGTTCAGATATTTCGGAGTTGGCAGAAGTGCCTACGAAAAATGAGGGGGAACCATGAGGAAAACAAGGTGTGCAGTGCATGGAGGCATCTGTGGAGACAAAGAACATTGTCCACAAAGCTAAGGGGAATGTATCATAGTGGCATCAACACTCTTACATGGATGTGAAGCATGGGTTTTGAACGCTGCAGCAAGGAGGAGGTTGGAGGCAGTGGAGATGTCGTGTCTGAGGACAGTGTGTTGTGTAAATATTATGCAGAGACTTTGTAGTTAGGGCTAAGAAGGGACTGCTGAGGTAGTTTGGACATTTAAGAGAGGCTGGAGCAAAATAGGATGACTTGGAGGGTATGTAAATCTGCAGTGGTAGGAAGGAGGAGTAGGGGCCATCCCAGTTAAGGTTAGAAGTAGGTGCTCAAGGAGGTTTTGTACGTGAAGGGCTTGGACATCCAACAGACGAGTGTGAGCATGTTTGATAGGAATGAGTAGAGGCAAATGGTTATGATTTGATATTAGTGTGAGAGCAAGGCAACATTTTTGAAGGGATTCAGGGAAACTGGTTAACCTGACTTGAGTCTTAGAAGGAGGAGGCACAGTGCTTGCACTCTGAAGGACAGTTGGGGATATTGCAGTTGGGAGGGGCATCTGAGCTGCAGTGTTGGCACACTTCTAGAAAGATGGTGAGGGAGTGAATGATGGTGAAAATGATTCTTCTTTTTCTGGTTACCCTACCTCCATGTGCCAAAAAAAAAAAGTCAACTCTATTCTTTACCAATTCTTTACAAACTCTCTTTTATTCAGTTACTCTATCAGATCTTCTTGCCCTATCTGGTTTTGTTCCACTTTTGTCATTCTGTCCATCAATACACTCATTTTCTCATCATTGTTACTGATTGCTGTGAAGGCATATCCATGCTTTGACCAGATTTTTGACCACTGTGTAAACAAAGGCTCTGATACTTGTTTGTTTTACAATTTAAGAGTAAAATCCATAAAGCTTCTGCGTCTCAGAAATCTTTTGAATTAATACTTCCATTACATATATTCAGGAACAACAGATGACTACTTTATTCTCTACACCACAAAAGGTAGAAATTGTCCTCCTCTCTTTAAGCAGGAAAGGTTGTGTATATCCACCCTAGTAGATATACACATGTATGCTATACATGTGTCAAAGAGTTGTGGAATGCATCCTTGTTTTGTTTCTTCTTTATCGGGTCACCCTAGCTCAATGAGAGATGGCAGGTGTTAAAAATAAACAGGCCGCACTACACATGCATGTACAAGCATACCAAACCATACCCCGGCCGGGATTGAACCCGCGGTCATAGAGTCTCAAAACTCCAGCCCGTCGCGTTAGCCACTAGACCAGCTAGCCACAATAAGATTCGTCCAACTAGGTATATTTCTACACCATAGGAAGGTTAGCACAGGCACCATTGTGACCACAAATGCAAGTTTTTACAGACGAATCTCCAGCTAGCGTGGCCGTGACGAACTCTAGCTCAAGTCCCTTCACTGCCGTCAACATGACTCACGAAATCGTAATGACACGATTGCAAACAAACCATACCCCGGCCGGGATTGAACCCGCGGTCATAGAGTCTCAAAACTCCAGCCCGTCGCGTTAGCCACTAGACCAGCTAGCCACAATAAGATTCGTCCAACTAGGTATATTTCTACACCATAGGAAGGTTAGCACAGGCACCACTGTGACCACAAATGCAAGTTTTTACAGATGAATCTCCAGTGGTGCCTGTGCTAACCTTCCTATGGTGTAGAAATATACCTAGTTGGACGAATCTTATTGTGGCTAGCTGGTCTAGTGGCTAACGCGACAGGCTGGAGTTTTGAGACTCTATGACCGCGGGTTCAATCCCGGCCGGGGTATGGTTTGTTTGCAATCGTGTCATTATGATTTCGTGAGCCATGTACAAGCATATATAACACACCCCATCTGGCTTTTCTTCTATTTTCTTACTAGTTTTTGTTCTTGTTAATTTCCGCTTATCTCCCTGGGAAACTGAAACAATTCTCCTCCGTAAGCTATGCATGTCATAAGAAGCGACTTAAAATGCCAGGAGCAAGGGCTAGTAACCCTTTCTCCTGTATACATTACTAAATTTAAAAGGAGAAACTTTCGTTTTTCTTTTGGGGCCACACTGCCTCAGTGGATATGACCGATATGTTGAAAGAAAGAAGGAAATTTTTTTTTTTTTTTTTTTAGGAATTTAGCTATGCTTTATTTTTCAAAATAAGAAATATAGTTATCCTGTGAAAAGGATCCTTTCCTTGAGAAAAACTAAGGAACTGTTGTCGGAATTGAGTATTCATTAGCTGCTGACGTAAAGAGGAATCATTGGAATGCTGACTTGACTGCTGACTTGTTATCTATTACAAGAAAATAGAAACACTTTATAACAACTAAATAAATAATCTGTCATGTTATCTATGAATACTAGATACTATAATTATCCATAATTTAAATTGTGAAGAATGAATTAGAGTACAGTGTACTAGAACTCATTCTTTAACAAATACAGTGGAACCTCGGTTTTCCTCATTAATTCGTTCCAGAAAGCCTGATGAAAACTGAATTTGACAAAAACTGAAGCAATATTCCCCACAAGAAATAATGTAAAATCATTTTTCCACCCCAGACCCCAAAAAAATATTAACAAAAAATACTTTTTTATAGAGAATAACTTAGTTTTACTACTGAAAACAAAGGAAAAAAATATAAACAACAAAAAAAAGGATAAATGAACATTTAATATCACTTTACCTTTAGAAGACTCTTGTTGGCGTATGGAAGCACGAGGAGGGGGAGGGGAAAGGGGGGAGATTGTTGGTTGGAAGAGGAACCCCCCCATAAGGACTTCAGGTACAAATCCCATCCGGGTTACTCCCTTCTTTGCCTTTACTGGCCGGACCCCGTTGCCAAAAAAAAATTTTCCAAGAGGTCTGTTTTGGGATCTCTAAGATTTGCCAAAAGGGACAAGGCATTGTCATTGAACAGTTGCAGACATGGGTTGCACAGTTTGCTGGGTGATTTTTCCACAAAACTCGCAGCTCACTCCACTTTGCACATGCCTAATCACTGAAGAAGACACCTTCTTCCCTCTCTCTTCCTCCTCCTCCTCCTCCTCCTCCTCCTCTGAAGCAATTTCCTCAGCTGAAATTCTTTTTGCTGTTCCAGTTGAAGGTATGGCAGTTTCTTTCCTGGGGCCAACCCATCAACTCCTCCCACCCTCCCCACTCCACCCTAACCCCATGGTTTTTCCCCCAAAGGCCCCACAATAGATTCCAAAACAGGCTAGGGTTGTCAGGGCCCAGCCTAAAACCCCCTTTCAAAACCCTTTCTCTTCGAACATTCTGGCCACATTTTTCTCCAAAAATTTTTCATCGCCCCAAAAAGTCACTTCCTGCCAAGCCTTATCTATAAGGTTATGAAATTTTTGGAGGATCCCAAGTGTTTCCCCCAGAACTCTTTAGGGTCAATTCAGTGTCCGGGGGTCACTTCAAAGCCCCTTTTGAAACATGCTTTGGGTGTAAATTTTTTTAAATTTTTCCAAATGCCCTGCGGGATGAGGGGGGTGGAAAAGGGGCTGGATGAGGGGTGTTATTGGGGGGCAAAAAACTTCCTGTGATAAAAAAAAACCCTCCCCAACAAGGTCTTCCAATTTGGGAGGGAGCGGGAGAAACTGTCCTTTTACCAGGGGGCACTCTATTTGGCCAATTTTTTTGTCCAGGGGGGATTTCTTCCATTGGGGCCCCAAACCCATTTCATTAAACCCACTAAATGAAAATTTCCCTCAGACAAATGCCTTATTTTACCTTCCACATCACACCCAATTTACCTGAGGTGATAAACAAAAAGGGTCAAAATTTGACAAAAAAAGTCGTAAAAATCGGAATTAACCCAAAAAGGGGGGGGCAAACAAAAACCGAATTTCCATTTGTAAATTTTCCACTGTAAAAAATTAATAAAAAAAAAATACACATAAAACTTATCAATTTTCTTGAAATTATAAAAAAGTAAAACAATAAAAAATTTTGGGAAAATTTTTTTTTGCATAAAAGCAATTTTTTAAAAATTTTACATTAAGAAAAAAAAAAAATTTTTAAATTATATTAACCTTTGACTGCGCTTTTAAAATATGAAACGTCAGGGGAGATCCCGGGTTTTTAAACGAAACTATACGCAAAATTCTGGGCGGCTTAAAAATCGAGCGGGAGAGGGCTGGTAGGCCAACGAGAGAAAAGGGGGTCTCAGGGTGGGTGTGCACCCTGTAAAAAAAAATCTGGGACTCAGGGGTGCATTGGGGGGAAACCCCAAATTTTTGGTATCCGTTTTCCCCATGCCTCCGGTAAAAAAGTTCCTCACTCCTGGGCGGATTGGAGGTTTTTTTTCCCCAAAGTGAACTCAAACGTGATGAAAGTGTCAGGGGAAGTAAAATTCCCCTGGTTTTTGGGAAACGGGGGTGACCGAGAAAATTACCCGGATAACATAATTATGAGGGAAAACCCAGATGACCCAAACCCATCCCCCTCTGGTGCTAGGCCGGCTCCGTTCATATTCACCTGTACCAGGCGAAAAGGAAAATTTCCCCCGTGTACAAGACCAAAATGTGACCCGTGCAAGTGAAAAGTGATAGGATTTCAAGGTTTGAAAGCACTTCTATTTTGTGCCCAGTGAGGGTGATTATTCCCCAGTGAAAGGGCAGTATGTACAAACGGCATGGGGTTTGGTAGTGTGCCATATCCCTTTTCCCAAAAGGGGAAGGAGTAATCTCGGAGCCACCCCCGTGGCCCTACCCACTCCTGATATGAAGAAAAAGATATTGTTACGAGGGGTAAAAATGATGGGGGAGTGGGGAAGCAGGCGGGGGTGGTGAAGTGCGGTGCCAAAAAGTCTTTTTGACACCAGCGGGGGGCCCAAACGCTAGGCCCGCGCTGCTGACTCTGCAAAAAATACAACCTGCTTGGGCCGACCCCCACTCTCACAACCAAAACCCACAACCTGCACAACCACAACGCTTTAACAATATCCGGAACGCACCATGCCCGGCCTCTGGGATTGGCTTTAAAAGGATAAACGAGTTTGTTCCAACCCCCAAAGCCTTTTTTTTTGATGGGGGAAAAGTGGATACGGCCATCAGGTACACTTGGGAAAAATTTCCCACTAAAACGGAAATGCTTTCATTTGTTCTTCGATAAACCCCCTGATGGACATTTTTGTCAGGGAAAAGAAATACAATTTAGGGGAGTACACCATGGCAAAACACATGCTTTAAACCAAGATCACGCCTACACCAGTGGGGGGGAAAAAACTGGGGCAGAGATGTATCTGTTCTTTCCCAAACAAAAACCCTTATGCCCCAGGGGTTAAAGGGAAAATAGTGTAAAACCCCTTACTGGGCGACGGGACCCCCAAATTTAAAACCCCTGTTTTCCCAGTGACATTAAAACCATTGAATAGTTTTTGGGGTTACGGGTTACGTATTTTAACACTTTTTCAGAAAAAACCCAGGCCTGCCCAAAAAGCGACGGGTTTATATAAGACCCAGACTTGTTTATGTCCCCGGAAACAAAAGTGCTGTATTTTTTTTTTAATCCCTTCGGGAAAAGCTTTTTTGGGACGATTTTTTGGATTTTTTTCAAAGGAAGACTCCAATTCAAGCAGTTTTTAAACCAAGCAAGAGGAAACGCTTTGGTATAAAGTTATTTTTTCTGTGTAAATTGAAAAAATGGTCGGGTTTTGGATAAAATTTTGTGTACACTGGGGGGTTAAAAAAATTGGAAGATCCCGGGAAATTTCGGGGAAATCTCTGGTGATGGGTTAAAACCCAATGATGGACCCAAATATCTTTGGTAAGGGGCATATTTTATATACGGAAAACTGGTAAAAACAACCCTATACCAGTGTTTTTCTTGCGGGGAACATGACAGAGTGTGTGGCAAGTGCGTAAAAGCCGAAAACATATCCCCGGTTCCCGCGCGGCAGTGGAGGTGAAGGCAGGTGTTTGCTGCCAATGACATCATGGCATTTGGGTGGCTTACAAAGTTTGTCACACTGCTACATCATTTTCACCGACACGAAATGGTAAAGGCCGGAAGCAGAATAGAGAGCCCAAAAGGGAACCTATTGTAAAACCTCAGCGGTGATGGATTAAAACCTAAAATTCCCGCTTAGGGAAAAAAAGTGACATGCAGATTGGGTTTGCGGGACTGTGTTGGGAAAGGGTTAAAAAGTGGTAAAAAAAAACCTGTTTTTTCCATCTTCTTGTTTTTCCCCATGCTAAATTGCTTTTAAATTATAAGTTTAAGACCAAGAAAAAAACCCCAAATGGTGAATTTTGTTTGTCAGTCATCAGACAAATAATATTCAAGTCCCCAAAAAAACAACCCCTTTAAAATAGACCAGCCCCCACGAAATTATCAACAAAATTCCTCTCTTGAGGCCGGTGATAAAAAACTCCCCCATCCCAAATGCCTGCTACTACTGCCAAAAAAAAATGCCTCAGGGTTTTGTCGGGGGACATCCCACAAAACCCAACAAAAACACAGAGACACTCTTTTTAATGGGGAAAGGGGGGAAAGAAAACCATTGTGCTTATCCCCCCAAGTTTCAAAGAACCCCCAAAAGCTGAAAGCATTCAAATAAAGGTCCAGGATTGTACATAATATAAAAATTTTTAAAAAAGTTTTTCTTTAAAAAAACATTTTTTTAAAAATTGTTTTTTTTGTAAAAAACAAGTTTAGCACTTATAATGATACGAGTGTTTTTGCAAAAATTTGTTTTTCCCTTTCAACGAGTGAAAATTTTTTAAACTTTGCAAAATAATTTGTCCACGGGGCCCCCAAAAGTTAGTGAAAAAATAAAATGGTAAAAAAAACAAGAAACCATCAAAATAAAAGAAAAATAAAATTTTCCCGGGGGAAGCGGCAGTCCCCGCTGTTGCCGCCGCAAAATCAATTTCAGCAAACTTCAGGCCCTCTATATCTCGGTAATATTTGATGGAAAAAAATTTTTTTTTGGGACTAAAACAATAAAGAAAATAATCTTAACATTTTCATAAGAAAAAAAAATTTTTTTTTTTTTCGAATTTTTGCGACACCAGAAGAAACCCTTCAGGTTTTTGGCCCTTCCCCCAGTCAAAGGGTTAAAAATTCTCTAAACAATACAGTGGACCCCGGTTAAGGGCCCGGGTTCATTATCAGCCAATTTGGGTTTAAACACCCGGGTTTTTCGGCGCCCATTTAAACGCCCCACTAACCCTTTCAGGGTCCACGGCCCTCTCAGAGACTTTTTCTCGGGGTTTCCCCCAAATTTCAAAAAAAAAATTTTTTTTCTTATAAAAATAAGAGAAATTTTTTCCCCCCCATAA